CTCCATACAGAGTCAATGTTTTATTAATAAGCAATTCGAAGAATGTGAAACATTAGACTGAGAATGGAACAAATCTAGGATCAAACAGTAAAACAGTATTAAGCCAGAAGCAGTGCATATAGAGTACAGTACACTATATGTTGTTGACATATATTTTGTGCTCAATGTTACGAGATGTCATGGAACTCGTTTTTCAAAGATATTTTTCGCATAGGTGTTCAAATATGCTATTCATAATAACGGGATCTTTTTTTTAATTCTTAAAATTGAATGTTTTTAATAATATGTTTTAAAGTCTTGTAAAATACTTATTTGTAAATATTTGTACTATTTTTATATTTATATTTTATATTTTACAAATATTTGTAAAAATATCCAACATTTTGAGGAAAAAGAATGTTTAAGAATGCTTGAAAGTCTGATTGTCCCTCAAAATGCCCATGTTGTATTTCTCTCACACATCCAGCTTTGTAAAGAAGAAAAATCTTAACCTCTCCAAAAACAGAATTAGGTTTTTAGTGTGATCTGCTCTCCCAAAACCAGGCTCTTCAAAGGTAATTCTCAAGGTTAACGTTTTTGCCAAATTTGTTCTTGCATAAACCGCAACTTCATTAGGCCATATCTGCAAAAGTAATAAAGATAAAAAAATATTGAATATGGCTCCTTGAGGGCTCTCTTTTGGAGCTTCTCAGTCAATTTAATAACAATGTTGAGAATAAAATGTTGTGCCTCATTATTTCTAAGTGTTAGTCTTATATTTATACCTCCACTTTAAATATTATTATGCAGGACATAAATTGCATTGGACACACCAAATGGAGGTACATTTCACCCATGGGGATAGAGTTGCTTACCAGACTCACTCGCTGGTGATGGCTACTGTTTTTTTTCCATATGGACATTTAGCACCCTTGGTTGTTAATCAAACACGAGAAACTGAACAGAAGGTTTTATCTACAGTACCTGAGTTCTGATAGACTGATCCACCAGTAATAAGATACCTTGTGACAAAATATAAGGGCACTCCAATACTGCTACTCGTATTGGAAGGAAACAATAAAAATGTGGAGACATTTCATAGGATTTAGTAGGTTTGCAGAAAAGAAAAAGCGTGTTGATGAGGAGCAGCAATCAGAAAAAAGAAGTGTCCCCAAAGTTGGGTGATAAATGGAAAATGGATGGCAGTGGGCTATGTCATAATGGCTCAAAATGCAGTCTGCTCAGAATGCTGATTGTTTGCCTTGTATAGAGAAAACTACAAATTATGAAATAATCAAGAGAAAATATTAAAATTAGAATCAAGTTAAAGATCAAAATGTGTCACTAATGTAAGAACATTTGGTTGCTAGTTTCTAATTGATCTGAGGGTCTCATCAAGACATTTCAGGAAAGCGGAGATAGTATTAGCTTCAACAACATGGCTAAGTAACTTGCTCTGTCTTCCCACAACCCTTTGTGTAATGTACAGCCATCTGTTTTAGGTTTGAAATTTATTTCTCTTTAGTTTCCATTTTCTGTCATTTGCAATGCTGTCATTGTCGATTTTGAAGAAATCCACTCAGTTGACTTTGCCATTCACAGTGAGGATTTCACTATTTGACTAAGTTTTGCTCATATCCCCCTCTGTTCAAGACTACAACTGCTTCTTCATTAAAAATAAAATGTTATACAATGTTTCTGAGCATTTTTGTATCTTCTTTTTCAGTCTTGACATTTGTAATCATTAGCAAAATCGGAACATAAAGTGTAATAAAGCAGTTGTACTTTACTAATATGGAGCACATCTTTGTAATGTGACCTTCTTTGGTACTTTTAAACAAACTTTAATAAGTCTAATTTATTTAATCTAATCTTTTTACCTGAATCTGGGTATTTGTTTTCACAATTCTTATAAATTCTTATTATCCGCCCTGTGAAACCTTCTTTCCAAGACAGTTTATGATGTTGAATGCTTCTAATTTCTGAAAATATTTTACTTGAATATAATAGCTTTATTTAGTCTTAAATGATTAAGTTAGATCTACTCAGATAGCTGAGACCAGGATTCAGGAGTAAATCTTGTTGCTTTTCTTTTTAATTTCAGTAATCTAGGTAATTTAGTAATTTCAGTAATCTAGTTAGGACCATGTAGGCTCATTATAATAAACACAGCATGTTTTACGTAGCAGTTTAAAAACTTTCTTATTTATCCTCTAACAAAATATTTGCTTTTAGAGAAACATAGACATTCACGAGTCTATAACACTGCCCTCCAGTATTTTAAATCACTGTTAATGGTTTAGTGCCATTTCCTGATGTTTTTTACATTAATCTAATCTTGTCAAAGGGATACAAGTGACACCTCTGCTGCCTTATGTTAAATTCTCAGTGTACAATTCACATTGGAAGCAATATGGGAGTTGTTTTTGAAAACCGTAATCTGGGAATCACCCTTTCTTCTAATTGTTTACTCTTTCAGTCCTCACCATTTCCACTAGCAAAGTCGCTGTATTCTCTATTAATTGCTTAACATAACACTTCTGCTTCACTTTATTAGAGTGAACATTCCTACTGAACACTGAGTAAGGTTACTTGATCTTCATATTTTGTTTTCCCCCTTTGACCAATCACTTGTTTACTATACATTCTTCTGCTGTACCTACAGCATTATTTTTGCATACCCATTAAAAAAGCTGTTACGCAAGTGCACAAGCAGAAACATTCTATTCTTTAGACTCCCGCACTCCTGTCAGGAAGGAAAAATTAGATGAGCAAGAAAATAATGTTTTTTGAAACTCGTGTACCAATTTCACCATGCTGCAGAATTCTATTCCTTTGTAATTGTTTGAGATTAGTTTGACAGATGAATGTGAAGAAAGGGCACCCAGCCTATGTATTCTATGCAAGATGATTGCAGGTGTGTAGGCAGAGACAGATCCGGTGTTAAAGTTGATGAAAAAAAGCCAAGAAAATGCCCTGGTGTGATAGAGGTTTTATGATGGGGAGGTTTAAAGCAAAATAACAGCAACATGTAAACTTTTGTTCCATTGCATTTTATGTCAATCAATACACCTTCATATGAATCCAAGCAATGTTATTGTTCTTCATATTTGAGTTTTTCAGTAGAATTGCCAGTATGTGACCCCATAATTTTCCTATATAACCCAGGCTGAGGCTGGAACTTTCTACCTGGATCACCCAGCCCACCTGGGAGTTATCAGTGCATGCTTAGCTGTAGGAAGCCATGCTTTATACTTTATTAATGCTTTTAGTCTGGTCATTTCCTTTTTAGACTACTGGCATCCACTTTTGGAGGACACAACACTGGAAAAAAGATTGATTTCACAGACATCTGTTCTTTAAACATATTGTGTCTGGTTATAAACGCTGAGAATTCATCTTTCACTTTCAATCAGACAATATATTTACTGCAACTGTGAAGTGTCTTGCACTTCTGAGTTTTTTCAGGTTCTTATGTTTGCATTATGACACTGAATATTCACCAGTTACACCAAGGACAGTAACAAAAGTAATGTTTCACTGTCTTTCCATCTCTAATGTTTCTTCATCTTAACAGGTTAGCTCTTAAAAATTGTAACTTCCCTTTAAATCCAACCTTAATACAATTAATGAGTTTCTGAGTAGCAAAGAAAGATTTTTGTATGCAGTTGGTGAAATAGATTTAGCAGTGGGAGAGATAAATTGTGAAGTTAGACTAAATCACAAGGAACGCAACAAAAAGCTGATGAGCAGGAGATCTGGCCAACAATGTCTCACCTTACATTCTGTACAGAGTCCACAAACAGCTCGCAAAGCTCATAAAAAATTCTCACTCTGCTCCCACACATACTGTAATTCAACTGATCGTTCCCATAGTCCAATATTCTGCTATTTCCATATTTGAATCTCCAAAGGCATCCTCAGTATAAAGTTTTTTTTACTTGTTTTGCTTGCTATGAAACACTCCAGCTCCCCAGTGGCACTGAATTTGAAGACATGCTTAGAAACTGAATGGATATTAATATGTCAGAAAAAAGCATCTGCTGTGTTTATTATAATTCGTAAATGGTAAAGAAGAATTGCTTTTTGTGATAGATGTGGCACATACTGTAGCATTAGCAAATTGTATGTGTAGACTGTCCTTCTAGAACATTTATAAAAACAAACACCTCCAACAATAACTAAAAATCACACAAAATTCTAAATACTCCATCTACACTGAGATATTGGTATTGCAAGTACAATAACAAAGCATTACCGGGTTCAGAACTAGGAAAATCAGAAAGCTGCAGATGTTTAAAATCAGTTGATAAAGAACAGCTCTGAACAAGTCATATTTTCTTAGGTGTCCCAGGATTTTATGGGAATCTAACCTATTCTTGACATACAGAGGACAGATAATATCCATTTATGGATCCACAGATCTGAATGAAAGCAACTAATAAACATTTTCTCTGAAATTTTGAAAACCAAATCCTGAAGTAAAACTACATGCTCCACATATGAAATGACTAAGCAGCACAGGTGACTCTTTCTATGTAAGAGGAGTCCTCCAGTATTGTGAACCACCCACATAAACATCGTCCTCAGCTCTATGTCAAACTGTTCAACTATGGCGTTTTTAAATATAACACCATGCGCAATGGGAACAAAAGTATAATTGAATTAAGTGCAAAAAATCAGAGAAGCTATTGACAACAGAAAATCTTTACTGAGTGCCATTAAAAGCTGAACAAATGTAGTAGTATCCCATGTTATTTTTTGCATTTAATTCTTCTCAGTAAAAACAGCCTTCACAGCTGTTCTTCTCTCTCTCTACTATAATGCTTTAGCAACCATTTATACACCTTGCTGTCTCCTAAAATGTTCTTTTCCACTTTCTAGTCAAATTTCAGTTTTCCTCAAAGATTTCCCACTTTTGTACCAATTTCCACCTGGTTTTCTATTGGATTGAACAGCATGTGAGTGCAGGAAAGAAAAGAAACAAGTATGACAAAGGAACAGATGAAATAACTACACACCTGTAAATAAGGAAACTGGAAATTGCGAAAATGATTAGGGCAAGGCCGCTTCCGAAAGCCACAATTCGAAACACAGTCAGAGGACCTGAGGAAACAAAACATATTTGTTATTGAGATTATGTATTATTAATACATTGTCACCCACAACAATACTTATCAGGCACATAAACACTTATGAAAGACATTTAATAACGGTAAGATTTAACATGATTCATAACTTAAATATTATTGAGCTAGTTTACGATTGGGTGGTGCAGTGGTTAGCATTGCTGCCTCACAGCTCTGGGGTCCTGGGGTCAATCCCTGTTCCTGGGGTGATCTGTGGCTTTTTCTTTGCCAAGATAGTCAGCAATAAAAAAGTTTCTCTTTTAGATAAAGGGGTTAGAAAATGGATGAATACCTTCAAGCAAACTCCATAAAGGTTTATCCATCCATTTTATAACCACTTCTTGCAATTCAAGGTTACAGGGAAGCAGGACACTGTCCCAGCAAGGAATAGGGGCAAGGTCGGATACACAAGTCCATTAATAGGCATTAACAGACATACACACACTCACACCAGGGCCAATTTTCTTAGAACACAATGTTTTGGGAATGTGGGAGGAAACCTTTGTGAACATGCGGAGAACATACACACTACATGCAGATAGCACCCCCAGGTCCAGAATTGAAATTGGGGCCCAACGCTGCAAGGCAGCAATGTGAACTACTGCGCCAGTGTGCCACTGTGCTTAAAAGTTTATGTTTGACAAATTCTAAACCGTTCTTTATATACATTTTTTTATAATTCCATCACAAAATAGTTTATTATATTGTAACAACAGTTTAATATGATAATGTAAAAAAATACATTCATTTACATTTACATTAAAATTATACAGAAAATTTAAACAAAAACAAATGTCTGATTTCAACTCTTCTAGCTTGTTGAAACTGATATCCTGGCTTCCTTTCAGAAATGACTGGATGAGATCTTTGAATCAATTAGTGATTAAACTACCACACAAGCTAGATAGGGCTGAATGGCAATAGTTGTTTGCAACTATTCTTATGTTCTTATGAATCTCAGAAGCCATTTTTGCATTCATTATAAATTACGTTGCACCAAACACTGACTAGAATCTTCCCTAGTACCTGAGTTCCCTTGTTTCTCTCTATTAAATGCATATTAACATTTACTTATTTATTTAAAGCAACTTTTTCTGGTATGCAAGGTGGATACCATCTAGAATATAAATATGTTTTGAGGAATTTGTGAATCTCTATAACAAAGTCTGACCCATTTGCTAGAAAGTAGACGTCAAGTACCCAGTTCAGAAATTAACCTGGATCCTGACCACGTCATTGTCCTTAGACACTGTGCTACAGTATACAAGCATATACAAATGGTTATCAAACTTTTAAAATACAGAGAGGTGTTTGTACAAAACCTTAAAAGAGTGCATAAATATCTGTATAAATATTTGTATAATCTATCAGCAAACATATTAAACAAATCTATACACTAGGTAAAATCTTGAAGCCTCAAGATTAAACCAGAAAATCTGATATATCTACATCTTTGGAATTAATATGCAGTAGTTCTTTCATAGAATACAAATAAAGTACTTTTGGAACTCTAAACTGGAAATGAAAAGTTTTAATTTTACAACTTTACTAAATACATTACAGATACCTATAGATTACTTGAAAACAGTCTTATAAGCTCCTACCGAAAATGAAGATCCACATCTATATGGAAATGAATGTGTTATGGATATTTATAAAGTATCTAAAATATTGTTTCAGCACTCTATCTAAACTTCATAATTTGTGTAAAATATAAAATTATTTACACTATGTTTAAGTCAAGACAGGAAATGGTGAATAGAGGATACTTATATTGTAGAACCATACAGATCTGTTAAATCGGATTAAATACAACATGTTTAAATAAAACAAACGTAACTGACTACATGCAATAGGAAGCTTATTTTTCAGAGTCATGATTAAATATACACAGTTTAACAGAATCTATATACAAACCTGAGAAAAATAAATTTACATTATATTCAGTTAAATGTGAAGCACCTCTGTATTATATAGTGACCTTAGCACAATACAGTTTTAAACAAAGAGAAAGGTGACAAATCAAAAATTAATATGTGATCATGGACATAACAGGCCTTAGAAACCTATATGATACATACTGTAGGTCTTTTTTACTAGATTAATAATAATTTTTCAGCTCCATTTTAATTGTTTTCAATTTTAGAGATTAGTTTTGGTTGTGATACTTAAAATATCTTCCACAGTTGTCCTTCATACCACATGACTACTGGAAAATAACCACCAAAACAACAGCAAACAAAAACGTCAGTGAATTACGAAATCACACTGTGCAGAACACATGTAGGAGGAAAAAACTGATCCTATGCCACATGACCAATGGTACATGAACAGACCATTACCCGAGTTGATTACGGTACTGTAATAAATATTTTCAAATAGAACAAATAACAAATAAAATAACAAAAAATGGTCAAATAAAAAGTTGGAGCATTTTTAATTTTACAGTGCTGGAAGAGGCAGATTCTACCTATTACTTCAGGAACTTTGTTTTGATGATTTTTTATTATCAACAACTCTATGGCAGATACAGAACAAATATTAAATCATTTCTGACAACACATGCTATTGTTCAAGTAAAGAATAATATTGTCCATTCTTCTTCACTATAACACCAAGTGCGTAAATTGACATACTTTCATCCTTGAACAGATAACTGTCTGTTCCTTTAAGATACAATACATATACAGTATGTATGAGGATTTTGACCACGTTACGGCAGTCTAATCACTGTCTTCCTTTGCCAGAAAACTGGGTCAACTAGGGAGAGTGTATATGTTGCCTTACTTTAATATTATTCATGAGAACACACAGGACCTAGAAAGTATTGTTTCAGTTTTTTGTTTAGTATAGACAGTATTGATCTCTATATATCGCCATCCAAGCATCTCCAGCAAGGATAGTAGAAAACATTCCTGATGAGGTCCCTCATAAAACTTTGAGTCTCAAATTAAAAGCCATACATAATGTATCCACATAGATCAAAATCTGTTTAATCAGAAATAGCATGTCATCTGGGGGGATACAGTTCCTAACTGAGCAAATGTAAGCAGTGATGTGCGGGAATAATCCATAGATATAGCAGATATAGTTAACAAACTACTTGGATACAAAAATAGGGGGTGGGATGATATAGAGGAAGAGCAGCAAAGAAAGATAAAATCATATCTTAGGGCAAACAATTGGCAAATTAAATTTAATTTTGATCAGTGCAAAATGATTCACATTCAGTGTAAAAAGATACAATATATATGTTGTATGGGCGTAAATAGAAAGCACTCAAAAGAGCATGTATCATGTGTCAATAAAAGATATCTAGCAAAGAGTACAGAATTTAAATTCAGGAAAAATAAGTTTTATAAAGGTAAGCATAGCTGATAGTAAGATCTAATGTAGAATGCTGTTTTCAATTTAGTTTTCCATTAATTATTACAATCACACAAAAAGGATGATTCCCGATATTGGGAAAGTGTCATATACAGAATGAACAGGCTAAGGTGTTAGAAAAAAGGAGATTGAGGAGAGAGTTCATTACATTATACACTATCCTAAGGGATATGCACAGTTAAATCAATGGACTATTTCACTCACAGTGGTTGGAAATACTATTCACTTTAGTCAATTCACAAGGTGCAAAAATTGCATTGAAAAACTACTGATTACTGCATGTTACTGCATTTTCAAGAAATGCAGTAACTACATTACTGTAGTTGGTACTACATTAATAATGTTAAAGAAGCAATCAGTCTTCATTAAATGCAGATTTTAGTTCTCTGTGTGTAGAAACTCTTCTAACAATTTTCAAAAAGTTAAACTACACTAATAGCATTTTTATAAAAGCTATTTATTATACAGGTCTGACTTTGACCTGTTGTTCCTATTATGTACCTATTGTAGTAAATGCTGTACAGCTAGGTGTGAGGATATGCATTCTTTTGTTTCAGGTCTGTTTTTTAAACTTTAACAGGATTATGCAGAGCATAAGAACATAAATTAGCTATATAATATAACATAGATATTCCTCTGGTATTATCTCAGTATCTTGTCCCAGTGACCCATTACTCCCCCCAATATTATAAGATTGTTGCAGTGGTGCTGACTTGTTCAAATGCCACTCATTTATTTAAGATGTTAATTGAAGCCCTGTGGATACAGTGCATAACCAGCTGGTGAAGTCATACACCAGGAAAAGAATGATAAGGTGTGGACCCACTGATTGGATCCAGTTTGCTTTTGGATACCATGAAACTTATTGTTGAGGTGGAGACATACAAAGAGCTGTGCAAATCCAGCCATCTTTCATACATAAAAGTAAAAAATATATATGATCTGGAATACTATTTAATCTGCCATCAGTGCACAGCATGAATATTGTAATAAGCTACATGAAATTATTGAATGGAATTAAAATATAACACAGTAATGGCTATAGGATGAGCTTGTTTATTTTCAACAACAGACACTGGAAAATAATTAAATTCAGAGGTGAAAGCATTGCAGAGTACCAGATCCATGAAAAATGACCCTTCAATTTTAGCTTTAAAGTGGGATAGTTACCTGATGCTACTTTAAAGTCAACCCGATGTACAGTATAAAGTGCACCTTAAATTTCTTAAAAATCATGGAGCTTTCCTGTTGCAGTTCCTACAGAAATTAAGCCAATAAAATTGTATAATTCCTCTTTTTCCCCTGGACTTTAGAGTCTTACCTTGCGAAAGTCTCAAGTTTAAACCACAAACACAACTTAGACTCTGCTACTGTACATGTACAGTATCTTTGGAAATTGCTCCTCCAGTTTTACCTTTTGTCCCTCTGACCACCACTCATAGTTGTATTTTAAAAGAGAAAGATTGTTTTACTGTTTACCAGGAACATTATGTAAGCAATTGGACTGACCATATTATAACTTACTCCACTCCATAGCTGCTCATTCTATAATGAGGGTAGCTCCGTATATGTTTCAAGGAATTTTAATTCTCTTTTAGTCGTTTAAACAAACCATAATTGGCAGGATTGGGGTTTACTCTCCCTTCAAACTTGCATTTAAAACTTAATTAAGGGATTCTTTATGAGTATAAAAATAAACATTTTAATTAATTTAATTTTAATTTACTCCATGATCAGTCTTTTGAAAGCTAATTTCTAAAATAATTCTTTGCAGTATCTTTGTACTTGTACTTTCACGTGCTGTTAGAACAAGAGGGAGCAAAGCCACATTAACAACAATAAAATATGTTTTCTTAACTCCCATGAGGGAAACTTAAGGCTCATTATTAAATAAAGTAATACATGAGAATTAAAACTACTGTAATAGCCTGCTAAACATTAGAATTTAGTGTTGTAAGTAAGCTGCGTATTTGCTGCAATAAAAATGAAATTGTTTACTTTCACCAAAAATCTGAAACACATACTGTACAACATACTGTAAATGCACCAAAGTAGACCAAACCAAGTGATATAGCCTTATTTTTATACACTTATACATATATCTTTATATCTTATTTATATTTTGGGGTCAGAAAGAATCATCATTGATGAGTGCATTTATACACAATAACTTCTAAATCAACTCCAATCAACCTCACAAAATTACCGAAATTTCCAGGTACTGTATGTGCCGTGCCATGTTCTGTAATTAAGAGCACAGCAACAAAACTTCTGGTGACGTTGTGCAGACTTTTTATATTCTAAACAAGCACACTTATGAATACATATTTTTTAATCCAACAGAAATATTGCTTTAGATTTCAAAATGGTTTTGCCAACAAATACTACTTTTTAACTTTGCATGCAGATCATGTTGGAACATTTCTACGGTGAAGCACAGAAATTTCCAGGTATGAGTAGTGCTATATTGCTTTTATTGTCTGCAGTTCAGAATGAGGCAATAAAACTTCCAGTGAACTGGCCCTATTACATTGTAAAGAAGCATGCCTGAGAATGCATCTCTTTTATTACAACTATGTAATTTTCATTGGTTGATTTGTATGAGCAAAAATGTAAGAAATAGCATTTGGTCAGAGAACAAGTTTTGGTTGATTATCTGAAAAGAAAAAAAAATCACATTATGAACTGTCCAGTTTCGCAACAATTGTAAACTCCAAACCTGAGAACATTTCAAACCACATGTACTATCCCAAATTTACATTTTTTTTAAACCAATCTATTATTGTTGCAATAAAGCATATGATTTAGATCAAGCAAATTTTGCTATTGTAGTAATTTATATACAGTATGTGATGTTATCAAACCTACACATACATAAAAGGCAACATGTTTTTTGGATACTTTATCTAGACTGCCAATTTGAATGAGTGCAAATTAATTGAATTCAACATATCGACTTGATGTCAACAAATACTACTTACTTGTTAACTCCTACTTGTTAATTGCATGCAGATAACATTGGAACATTTCCAACTTTGTGTCTTGACACCAGGTTAATTAATTTGCACATTGCTTATAAATGAGAAGTGATGGCTAAGTTCTGATCGAAAGTTGTTGTACATGATAGTGTCACATCTTGTGACCAGTTCTTTTTCTACCGTTGCAGACACAAACTACTCATTTGGCAGCAAACAGCAGCAGCGCACCACCTTATAAGGCCTATATAAGTTTTCTTTCATACATACAATGTTCACTTATTGATATGAATCCAACTGAACATGTGTGGGACAGATTGCGTTGTCATATTCAACAACAATATCTTCAACCACAGACCATGACAAAAGTTTTCGTAAGTTGATCATCTTCACTGAACTATTGTCCTACACACACTTGAGAGACATCTGTGAGTTAATACTTTGTTGACTTTAGGCATGTATTGGGCTATATGATCACCACAGGTACTTAGGCAACAGTGATTCAAAATCCTCAATTATCACAATTTCTGTTACCTTGCAGATAATTTATACACATGTAAACTGGTTGTTTCCTCTGCCTGTTGCATTGAAAAACGATTTCAAGCAAAATATGTTACATATGGACCTTCAGGAAACATTTCACCTCCAAAATTGTATTGCTTTTCAGTATGTTATCATTAAATTAAAGCGTACCAATTTATTTTTAGAATTACACTTTATATGTGGCTAATAAATAAACACGGCTACCCAAACCAATACATAAACTCATACACAGGTCTGCAATATCAAACCTTACACACATTTATGCACCATGCAAACTCTACCATATAAAAATGGTGCATACTCTTTTTATGGTTTTTAAAATCATAAAAACATTTATTTCTCATTAACTTAATATGTGAATGCTATAAAACTTCTTAAAGAGGAAATTTTGCAAACTAAATTAATTTTAATTGGACTTTACTTTGTTTCCTGAGTTAAAATAGCTTGCAAGCCAAAACTGTGTGAGTGCAGTCGTACTGGTTGAACATCAGAAAATTAAGGTTTACAAATTAAGACTGTGAACATTAAAAAAAACAAATCCCCTGTTTTGATATGCAATATCTGACTGTTTCCTACCTTCATTAGTGCAATAGTCCTCCATATTGAACACACATGGAGGATTATCCAAAGGGGGACTTCCCTTAGGCCAGTGAATTTTCTCAGTTGAAGACCAGATAATTTCTTTGGTTGTACCATTATAATGAGCCACCACCTGCATGAGAATAAATTGTGAAATGTATTATAGCTGAACTTGAACAAAGCCATTCAGTGTGAATCAAAAACTAAGTAATGGTTATAAGTGTGTTTATGCATTTGTATTTTCATTTTAAAACATGTATTTGCAGAAATCGATAAAAATAAATTAAAAATGAAACTTTATTTTTTCATTATCTCACAACAAGTCAGAATTATTATAGATACTTCAAAATTCAGTTGTCCAACTCTAATTACTTTACACTTTTCTAATTAAAAGGAATTAAAATACAATACTTTTATACTTTGATGTCCAATATGATATACTCTTCAGATAAATAACTGAAGATAAAATAGCTCTATGACAATGTGATATCAAATACCACATTTTTCACAAAAATGTCAAAGTTTTATTATTTATTATTCCTTTAAACTTTCAGATACATAAGCAATCTAAAATTGTATATAAACACAACAATATATTGGTACTACCAAGAATTGTATAGCAATATAGCAATATAAATTTTGTTCTGTATCAAAATGTCTTAATAAAACTGTTTTTATCACAAAAAGCACTTCACAAGAGAAATTACACCTTTATATGCACTCTACTACATTCCAATTATCTTTATATGTAAAGCAGCTTTTGGGTAAATACAAGTGCTTTATTAGCCTTTAGAATCAGAAGTCACTTGTACAAATGGTAAATGTAAATAATGATTTAGCCCAGTTCAAGACATTACAAGAAAGGGACAGTAAAAATATTTTATATAATTAAGGAGATGTATGAATACAGGCATGCACAAAGAAAAGGTTTATCCAGACGACTTTGTAAACACTGCAGAGGAACATTTGTATGTTGTGATATTAAAAACAAAGGCCTACAGCTGGTGCAAGGTACTGTATGCCATGCAATTCAGACATGAGTAAATTCCTGTGGTGTCAAATTATTCAGAAGAGCACCTGTCTGAGGCCAAGGCAGACTTTTATTACACAGCACTTCAATGAAAGTCAAATCCAGTGTTCTCCAAAAACTGTCCACTATGTAACAGCAATTATACTGCATTGAGCTTGTTTGAACTATCAAAAACTGCTGTGTCATGTTTCATGCTTAACTCCATCAAGCACCTTGTGAATGCTATGGACACACATTTTTGCAATGTGTCTACTCAAGCAAGCAATATGCAATAATGCAAACATAGAAAACAAGACTGAAGGAAAATTATCACATACACCATTGTCTCTGGCAGTGGAAATTTAAATTAAATTCCAGAAGCCTTTTTTGTACAGCCTTTTTTGGCTGTACAACGCCAACGGGTGTGGTCCACCATGTGCCATAATAGTGAATACAACCAGTGAACAAGAAATCATTGATTGGTGTTTTATCACAATTAAATAACAAAATTACATAGTTCAAACCACTCGAAGAAGACTCCACAGACGAAACATTGTTTCCTTTCTTCTCTTTTCAGCAAGGAATAAACCTTTACTTGCTCCTTTCCATAACAACATGACACTGCTTAAAACTGAGAAAAAAGCTGTGTCTTTATTAATACTTAATTTTAGATTTAGTCTCTATATCTTTACAGTTTATCCAAAAAAATAGTATCTTATCGTTAGTGCTAACAGTAATGTTTTTTTACCCATTTTTATAAATTTTTATATCTAACACCTTTAAAGCACCTTTAAAACCTACACAAAAATACATCTTTATTAACCATTTCCTCATTTCTGTCCATGACACCAGTTCCCAAACTGACATTAGATAAGTATTGTTATTAGAAAACAAGTATGGTGTCACATGGAATTATTGCTAAGGAATTCACATTAAGGTTACTGTAGAGTTAAATATCAACTGACTTGAAAAGCTAAATAAATTCCCCAGTTTGTGCTAGGACTGTAATGTGAAATGTATATGATATCTACATTCATTGTGCTTGTTGCTTACTTCTGTCCTTTTTACATGTGTTAAAAAGATTGTTAAAATATTTAATGACAGCTGTGATGCAACTTCAAACATATTAGGAAAGCGCTGAGTATTAACCCTCAAAAATATCTATTTAAAATATGACATGTCAAAGCATGTTGCTGGTGTGAGTTATAATCAGATGTATTGAAATCAAGAAGACTGGAGCACCTTGTTTAACTAAATGAGTCATACTGCTTACATAATGTGCTTTGACCAATGTTCCTATTATTCTTAAATTACAGTCTCCCATTGTTTATTTTTTAGCTACATAAAAAACCTGCACAAGGAGAGCTCAGGTATCTTTTCAGGCAAGTTCTTATTCAGTCCACAGGCAAATGTATGACTTACTGTTATTTGGATGAATGTTTCAACTTTGAGTTAGCTTTCTTTGGAAAAAAGCATTCTATGTACTAAAGCCTGTGAGAAGTGAAAGACTGTGGTTCAGCGAAGATAAAGAGTGAAAGCGTATAAGTACGTCTGCGTGACAGTTTAAATAAAAAGTGTGCCCTCAGAGACTTCTGGATGACTAAATGCCTTAGAGGTGAACAATTAATCAAAATGAAATGAACAGCAAATATTTTTTTTTTATTTTGTTACTTTGAATTTGTTATTTTTAACATTTAATGACTATGGCCATGAGGGGAGCACAGTGGAACAGGGGTTAGAATTGCTGACTCACAGCAACAAAAAGCTCTGCTTTCAATTCCTCTGATGCTATCTGCATAGAGCTTTGTATGTTTTCTCTGTATTCACATAGGATTTGTCCAAGTGCTCCAGTTTTCTCCCATAGGCCCAGAAGACCTGCTGATAGGTTAATTGGCTCCTGGGAAAATTGGCCATGCTTTGAGCAGGTGCGTGACTGTGTTTGTGTTTCTGTGTGCCCTATGGTGGAGTGATCTCCAGCTTGGGGTGTATCCTGCCTTGCGGCCCTAGCTTGCTAGGAAGGGCTCTGGCCCCCCTGCAACCCCATATTGGATACAGTGGTTAGAAAATGGATGAATGAAATATGGCGATCTCATTGTCTAATGTCTTCGAGGACATTAGATGATTTTAAAAGCTTTCTCATAATAACATAACCAGATGTCTATCTCTATTTGGTAGGTAAGTAGTGCTAACAGTAGTGTAGAAATTAAAATAAAATTACATATTTTGTGGGAAAATATACAAATGTTGTATTTGCTATAAAAGCAGTATGCACGAGGTAAGCAGTTTTCTGAACAGACCCAATACTAGAAAATGTCTTAATATTCATAATATGATAAACAAATCTCCTTAAAATGTTTTTTTTGCTGTTCTTCCTTTAAGAAATACATTAAACACTGACATTTGCAATTGTTTCTTAACTTCTGTTCCTAATACAAAACTTTAAAAGAACACAGCAAAGATACTGTTTTTTAGAACTCTTAGCATGAATGTAGGAGAAATACATTTTAAAAGATTTCAGTTTATTGTAAAATAAATCATGTACTCATCTGAAATAATGTAATTTGAAATATTTCTTTTAAAACCCTAATTATGATTTACTGCTATTACACATTTTAGATTATTTTATTTTCAATGAGATGTTTATTGTGATATGTACTGTATACATACTTTGAAATTCTTATTTGTGCTGATCTCTCAGAACATACACAGTATAGCCGACACTACATTACAACATAATGATAATGCAACCAGAATAATAAACGTAGTACTGAAAGAAAAACCAACAGCATTGTAGACCATGCAGAAAGTGCATAGTGCAGACATGCATTAAGTCAGAGGCATTGCAGTTAGCTATTAAGGATTCATACTGTAGTAGGATAGAAGCTGTTCTTCAGTCTAGTGGTCCATACTTTAATAGTGTGGTGCCGCTTGCCAGAGCGCAGGGGGGAGAACAGTTTGTGGCTGGGATGGTTGGGATCCTAAATGATGGATTGAGCTCTATTGCGACAGCGGATGGTGTGAATCTTACCAATTGATGGTAAATCACATCCTATAATCCGTCTGTGCCACAACCCTTCGTATTGCGTCTTTGTCATGCCCAGTAGTATTGCTGTACCACGCAGTGATACCACTAATGAGGACACTAACTATGGTGGTATGGTAAATGTTATTGAGAAGCTGCTTCCTCATACTGCATTTCTTTAAGCACTGCAGAAATTGTCACAATCGCAAACCCCTCCTCTTGAGGGCGCTCCAGCCCTTCCTCGTTTGTCTCATTCCCCGCACCTGTTCCTTGTTCCTACCCCGTTTCAGTTCACGTTTAAAAGCCAGGCGCTCACTTCACTCAAGGCTCTGCATCTGGTTTCCTAATTGTGCGAGCCCGGGACCTGGTTGTACCTGGCTCCATTATGTTTTTAAGTTTCTAAGCCTGTTCCTGGTCCTGTACCCCTCGCCGGTTCCGACCCGGTTCCTGTTTTTAATCCTGCATTTTGGATGGATCACCTGGCCATGGACTTTTGCCCGTTTCTTGGATTCGCCTATGGATTTATTCTTCGGATTGTTTGCATCGGCCACACCTCCCCAGATCACCAGCACTTTATGGACACACCCCCTCTTTATTCCCGTCTCCTGGATGACTTTTCCCTTGTGTTTTCTCACTTTAACCCGGATTGTGTCGTCCGCATAGGGTCCGGAAAGAACTGTACTTGACAGAAATGGACAGTATCTGCAGACTGTCTACAGTGTTGTGAGACCAAACCAAGTTGGTGGAGATCTGCAGCCTGGGAAACCTGAAGCAGCTGACAGTTTGCACTGCTGTGCCATCAATGCTGATTGGGGTGTGTCTCCCTCTGGGTCTCCTAAAGTCCACAATGAAGTCTTTTGTCTTGTTGACGTTCAGGGCCAGATTGTTGTCAAGGCACCATCTTGTAAGATGCACCACCTCACTCCTGTATGTGGACTCATAATTGTTGCTGATCGGCCTGATAATTGCAGTGTCATCTGCAAACTTAATAATGTAGTTGCTTCTGTAAGTGTACAGTCGTAGATGATCAAGGAGTACAGTCTAGGAATGAGACAGCAGCCTTGGGGAGCTCCAGTGTTTATGATCAGGAGATATTTTAATA